ACCAACAACCAACAACCAACAACCAACAACCAACAACCAACAACCAACAACCAACAACCAACAACCAACAACAACAACAACAACAACAACAACAACAACAACAACAACAACAACAACAACAACAACAACAACAACAACAACAGCAGCAGCAGCAGCAGCAGCAGCAGCAGCAGCAGCAACAACAACAACAACAATAATAGTAGTAATAATAATAATAATAATAACCCCCCCAAAAAAAGAATTAAAAACAAAAAAAAAAAAAACGGAAAAAACATCTGGGCCCCTTGGCCCTTTTTTTCGGGTTCCGGAACCAATGGACGACATGGCAAGGCCAAGCCTCAGACATGCTTGAAAAACATCCCCAAACAGGGTCATAAGAGTCATAATCAAAACCCGGTATTAGAATGGTCTACCCAGAACCATGCTTCAAGAATTAAGAAGGCGGAATTCCGCAGCTATTTATGGCAAGAAGATTGTCCCTTAACCTTCATTTGCCCGAATCGGTTTTGATTGTGCAAGTGGCTCATAAGAAGCTGGACGGAGGGCACACAGCGCACTCTTGAGGTCGTTTTGAGGATTATCTTGGCTGCGCCTTCTGCTTACCAAACCGCTCGAGAGATTTTCCGTCGGCGAACTGTCATGAACGCTATGCAGACGTCCAACATTCCCGAAAGACAAAGCCCCTTACATAGGTCCACTTGGAACACGAAGTTGCTGCTTTTGTCCAGACACAGGGATCCTTACATTATACACCTGAACATTGCCTTGTAAATGGTGGTTTCCCTTTATTTTGGTGGAAAAGCCGTGTTTCAACTGGGCAAAATGTATCTTTTAAGGAGCCCTGAGACACTTTACCCCAAAAACAGTCACAGCTGCTGGGCAAAAAGCAGAATCTGGCGATCCTGGCAGGCTCTGTTGTCGGCTCTTAAACGCACCCCGGACCTTTTCCCCGCGAGACCCGTCGCCTCACCGCTGGAGCGGGTCACAATGGCATTCTGACCTGTGCTTCCAGGTGCCGGAACCGGTGACCCCAAGATTTGGCCTGAAAAGAGGGGACGTTCGTTGATCTGTTCAAACCGCGAGAAAGAAAGGTAAGATCCGCAACACATGCATCCAATTGAAACCTCTTTTTTTCCCAGCCGGAGTGATGTTGCAACCCCTCCTGTCAATTGGTTTCCATGAGTGGAAAGAGGGTACATGGCTGGCTCGAGACCTGGTGTCATCCTTGGCTCTAAGGGAAACCAACAGGAAAGCTGATGCCATTTATTTTGGGGGGGGGCCTTGAAAGGGGCAGAAACTGGGCTCTGTCAAAGCGCGAAATGCAACCGGGGGTCAAGGGTTTGGGCCTCAGCCGTCAACCATCCAAACCAAGGTGCCAATTTGTTCAACATGCCATTCCCCTGTTGCAACATCCAAACTGGGCTGTTCTCAGATCCCCTGCTAAAAGTTTAACGGTTAAATGGAAACCCCCACGAAACACTAAAAGGATCTAAAAAGAACCGGATGGCTGGCTTCGCCACCAAGTAAAGAGGACTGCCATTGGTTGAAGCCCATTTGAGTCATCAAAAGCCTTTGCAGGGCTTCCAACACGAATCCAAGCGGCTTCAAGACCTTACCGACCTAAACCGAAGGTGGGGGGTGCGCCACTCGCTGCCTGCGGCAAAGGAGGCCGCCGGAAAGGAGAAGCCCTCGAACTCCTCCATGGGCGGCGGCGGCACCGCCATCACCACCTCAAAAACAAAACAAAAAACGACTCCCCCCGCGCCCCATGAAAACGCTCAGAGAAGCCGCCGACGTCGGGGTAAGTTCGGGAGGAAGGAAACAAAAAACCTTAAAAACGCGGGGCGAAGCCGGCGACGTCCGGGGTACTCCTGGGTAAGGAAGAAGAAACAAAAAGAGGGCGGTTTTGTTGACCCGGGCAAGTTGAAGCCAAGCTTGGGAGGGCGCACCCAAACCAGGTAACCCACAGCGAGGTGAAATTTCCGCGCTCACGGCTCTCGGGCTTGAAAGCAGGGCCTCGGGTGGAAGGGGTTGGGGGAAGCCACAATTTACATCTGAGTGATTGCGGGGTTTGCAAACCTGGGGCTTGTTTCCCTTTGTTTTTTACCTTAGGCCGACCAAACCAGGGTTGCCGATAGATCGGACAGCTGCTGGGGCATTTGCGCGCCCGCGGTACAGTGCCAAGACTCGAACGGCAGGCCACAGCTGCAGCTACAAGAAACAACAAAACAAACGGCAAACAACTTACAACGCATGCCACCAATTTTTCTGGGCTGTCCGTTTCTCTGATCCCTGCTACAAGCGAATTGTGTTTTTTGTGGGTCAAACAGGACACCCAACCGCTAAACCAACTCAAAACGACTAAAAGCGCCGAAAGAAAAAAAAAAAAGCACCGCAGACTTCGGCCGGGAGCCGTCCAGTTTTGGACGGACCAAACTTCGCGTCGCTCGGATCGGCTCGACCTCCCGACAAAAGCGCCGGCTGAGGCCCACGGCGCCGGCGGCATTCAGCTCCTCCTGCCGCGCCTCGTGAGCTCAAAGCCGGGGGAGTTGTCTTCGGCGTGCCAAAACCAAAATCGGGACCCCTGAATTTTGCGACGTCTTGTCCGGATTTTTTTGGTTTTTTTTGTTTTTTTCTCCCCCGTTTTTTTTCCCCCTGATTTTGAGCCAACGCAAGGCCTTTTTTCAACCCCATCAACACGTTTCGTTTCCCAGTCGCCCTGGAAGGCTCAAAACCTTTTTCGGGCCCAGTACCATTTGTGCAAAGGGACCCCAAAAAGGGATTTCCCTAAAATCACTCGCTTTTCAGTTACACACACACACACACACACCACCGCACCCATCTGAGACGCGAGGGAACCAAACAAAAACAAGAAAAATATCATGATATGCAAAGGAGCTAGTCATCGACATGCTTCTAATCTGCACTCTGTTCTGCAATCATTCCAAAACCTCACATAAGATTCAAGAATCAAGCACGGGATCTTTCCCATTACCCCCGTTGTTCCCCCCGTTTTTCCCCCCCCTCATCCCGAGACCAAGCGATCAGGCACGATTTATGTTAGACTTTGCCAAGAGCTTGCCCGTTGAAACCAAGAATCCATGTACGCCACATCTCCTCCGAACGAAGCTTCTGATTTACATGTAGACTCCAGCCATCCCCGCACCGATTTCCCCCACACCGAGCCCCCCGAGCCCAGCCCACCGCACCGAGGCCCCGCGCCGCCGCGATGGCGGCGCCCTCCTCCAGGCGCCGCCGGTCGTCGTCGTGGAGCCGCACGCCTCGACGCGAAGCGCGAACGGGCGGCTGGGCGGATCAAACAAAGGAAGCACCGTGAAACCTCGACTGCAAAGAAACGGTTGGCCGAAATGGTCCAAACGTCCAAACCCAAAAAATGAGAACTACTCTGAAACTGAGAATGTTTGTTGGAGAACTTCACCTAATAGGGTAGTGTGAAGTTATCTTGTTGCCAGGATAGAGCACCTGGAACGATTGCCTCATTTGAATTAGTTGTGGGAAACTAGTAGAAAAAGGTTTTATGACGAGTAGAACCATGATTATAATCCCAGTGCAAATGAGAGTATGTACTTGACATATGTACATATTTAGTATGTATGTGCATATTACAAATATATATATATATAGGTATGCGCATATAATGCGCATGTATATAGAAATATAAAATGTGTGTTTGAGTGTGTCTATCTGGGCCCAAATTATGGTGTGCAAGTCGGATTTGGTTCCCGTCCTCCCCAAGCGAACACTAGACTACCAGTAGACTTCACCTCGGACTCTGCAAGACACGTCCAAGGAGTCCATCTAGATCAGGTCCCCCGAAAAGAAGAGCCTGAGATTCCAGTTGCCGCATCGCAAGATATGTCCCACGGAATCGCAACGGCAGTTGTTGCCTCAAACGGTTCGCCGTTTGCACGGCTTTCCGGTGGGTGCTTTGAGCGCACCTACCTCCGACAGGGCTACCCTCGAACATAGGCCGCCCGTGCGGAGGGATCTCCCGCGCCTCCCGAGGGACCCCTCCTTGCCTCCCGACTCATCTGCCGCCTCGATCGGATAGTACCTGACCAAACGAAAGCCAACCTTCTTGCTCTACCCGGAGAATATATGGCACGGAAAAATGCTGTGGATGGACGAAATCCATTTCGCACCACCTAAGAAACCCTGGAATGATGATTCCCCTGCAAATACCAATGAACAATGGTTCCCCATGGTCTTGAAAGTGGTGCAGGATTTTGTCCACCCACAGTATTGCGCCATCTACTCTTGCTCCAAAAAGGAGCTGTTTCAAGCAGAGCTGGTCCTCTCAAGGGCCGGTTCCTTTGAGAGGGATTGCATTGCATCAGCGGCTGCTGGCAAAGTACAAAGCGGCCTTCTCCCTCTCATCTTTCGGCCAATCCCACGGTCAATGCAACCCCTCCCCAAACCGTTTTGGGATCCCAGTTTGGTAGGTGAATTCACCACCCATTTGAGTCGAGTGATTTTGGTTGGTAGGTGAATTCACCACATTTTAGTGGTTGGATTGGGTGATCCCAGGGTTTATTCATATGGGGGTGTTCCCCTCCAAATGTGATAAATCCCCGCTAAAACCAGGGACACCCCCATATTAATAAACAGGGGTTTATTCATCCGGGGTCCACATTATGCCCCATCTTAGGCTTTGTCTCTCAGCTCCGGCTCCACCCTTGGCCCCGCTACCGAGCCAATCTCCGGACCCCGGCTTCACGTGAGTCACTTGCTCAAGACCCGGTATTCCATCGGTCGTCCCAGAACCATGCTTCAAGAACTGTTAGAAGCCGGAGATCTCCGCGGCGATTTGTGCCAAGGGGATTGTCCCGCCTGACTAACCTTCACCAATCCCCGAATCGGTTTTGTTTGCGCGAGCGGCTCGCGCGACTCGCAACGCGAGAAGCTGACTCAACGCGAGAGCACGCGAAGGATACCATCATACCGGCGCAGACCTCATCCGGGCATGTCAGCTGAAGCACCTGACGCACCGTCCCGTGTCCCCAAGAAAACCGTCGTCTGGCAAGCCTTTTCTGCGGATGGAAAAGGAATCCTGCAAAGGAAGGGCCGAACTCCACCAAACATCTATCCAAATGAGGCCCAGGAAGCCGACCCCCTAGTACATCCGCAGCTTTGAGGTCCAAAAACGCGAGTGTCAGTGTCAAACCTGAACTCGCCAGAATCCTCTCGCATGAGAAAAACAACTCTCAAGTGCACACCGTCGCCTGTCCATCAGGCGTGCTGACGTTGAAGTTCACGCCTGACGAATTGCTCGGAGGCTCGCTGCGAAAACCGGCCCATCCGATCCAAACCCAGGAGTTTCGTTTCGCGTGCCCAGGGCCCCCAAAAAAAAACGATGAGCACCTGGTGAACCTCAAAATAGGTGGCACATGAGTGTTCACCCACCCCAAAAGTGGAGGAGGTTATGACCCATGGCCATTTCGGGCGTAACCTACGCAAACAACATGTCCCCCATCCGCGCTCGCGCGCCTGGGCCCACGCCCTCGGGAACCTCCGCCTACAGGCGAAGAAAAAGACCCCGGCGCGGCGTCCACAAGCAAAATTTGGCCAAGTCGTCCAGGCAAGCAATAACATGCAACGGTCCCCCCATGCCTTTACCATAGACTGAAGTTGACCAAACGTTAGGGCGGAGAAGCCCCCCACCCCCCGGTTTCCAAGTTCCAACTTCGCGTTACGCGTTAAGCTTGGCCCGCATCTGAAACTTGCCAAGCTTGTTCGTCCGCGTCCATGCATCCTGCCCCACTTAGTGCCGCAAATGGAGTTGGAGGATATCCTCTCCGAGTAGCACAAAAATTGCTGAAGCGGGTCTGCTGGGCCAAGGGCATGAAGGGGAATGTATCACCAGTGCGCCTTTGGTTTCCTTTGGCTTCCCTTTGGTTTCTCCCCAAAGTTGGCGAGTGCAATCTTGAAACTGCGATGTCAAAGGCCCTGCATCCCTAAGTGTCATTGGAAAGAAGGAGCGGCACCTTCGGCCACTTCCTCTCTCTTGCCAACGCAGGGCGCCATTTCACTGAACAATTTTCGAGCCTGCAAGCCAACAAAGAATTCTGCAGACCCCTTCGTCCAACTCCCAGTCCCTGACCGCCCATGGGACTCAGCTTTGCACCTGAGAACATTGTCCTTTTAGGTTGGAGATAGATGGATTTCCCTGGTAGATGAAAAAAAGACCACCAGGTGAACCGATCGGAATCGCCATCTATTTTTCGAGCAAAACAACCAAAAAGGACACCTATGCCTGAGAATCAACCAGCAATTGATTCATTTCGCATGTCCGTCCCTTTTCCGCCTGCAGGGTCACCGGCTCCATGTCGCCGCTTCGCGGCTTGGCGCCCGAAGCGAATCCCGGAAGGCTCAAAGTGATCGACTGTGTGCTGTTTCCCTTGTCCGCTTGGCGGGACGTTCGCACGAAGAAGGCAAATCCCAATCCTTCACAACATGCAAAAGCCGGCGAGCCAGCCAAAAAATAATAAAAAGAAGGATCATAGGGACGCTCCATACTTTCCCATCCAGCTGCAGGAAGTTCAAGGCGAGGAAGGCAAGTCTCTGAAGATTCGCAAGACTTCCTGGTGCCTTGATGGAAAAACCAGCCGCCTTCTCTTGGCCCGTGTCTTGGTCGAAAGTCGAAGGCTGACATCCTTCCTGCCCCCTTTGCTTTGAGCAACATCAACAATTCGTCCATTCGCCAAACGGCATTCCTCCAGAGCGCAAATAGGTGCAAGCAACACGCAAGCAAAGGATTGAAGACGGTTGTCACCCCAACCTGACTCACTTAAGGCGCAGCTCAATCAGAATGGTGCTGGCAATATTCAGAGAATACTCAAGAGCTGAGCTAGAAGCAAAATGCGAACCCAAATGAAAGGTTGCAAGAGCAACGCTTGTACTAGTGAGGGTCTGCGGTTCAGCAATCATCCTAGAACGGGGGATACAGTAACAAGCCGCAAATTGGTGGAAAAATGGGAGGCTGCAACTGCAACTGCAACACCTGGTTGGCTGCAGGTGTCAGCCACCATGTGCCATGTCTGTGTGCAAACCAGCGAAGCAACCAACCAGCCAACCAACCAACCAACCAACCAACCAACCAACCAACCAACCAACCAACCAACCAAGCATCAAGCAGCCAGCTCGCAACTAGTCAGGAAATCCGCATAAGGAAAAAAAAGCTAGACCAAGATTCCAAACAAAAGAAATTATCCTCCCCTCCAAATCGAGCATTGGCAGTATCGTCAGGCCCGGACAACTGCGCACTGCCCATGGCATGCTTCTTGGCAGCACCCTACAGCCGGCTATTCTCCTGATTGAGAGAAGGAAACCGAAACCCGCAAGTATTTCTCGGTTGCTTTCTGCTCCCCTGCTAAAAGTTTAACTTGTCGTGGTTTAATGGAAAACCCATTAGTTGGCAATAAGTTAAAGTCCAAGCAAAATGCACCAAGTATTTACCAGACATGTCTTTTAGGAAACCCACAAGGCGGCCGGGGCAATACGCCAAAAAGGCGCGTGCTTTCAAAAGGGGAACCGCCTCTGACCTGTTGGTTTCACCCTTGAAACAACGCCCCTTTTCCAGCACCTCTGTACACTGTCCTACAGTGAAACTCGATCCCAAGCCTTTTCAAACTCCGAGGATCCGCCCGAACGCTCCATTTGGGACTGCGGATGCACCAACTGCGGCAGTTGGCCGGCGGTCTATTCTAGCATTCATAGCTTCAGCCGCCAAAGCTGGCGCAAGGATTTGGCCATCCACAGAAAAACCCCAAACATGGGCGGAACCACAGAACCGCTCGGGAAATGGCGCGAGAGATGCTTCGTGTGAGCACACCAGGAGAAGATTTTCTGTAACTCACATGGCTTCGTGTGAGGTGACTTCAGCCGGAGAGGCCGCCGTCAGGACCTGCCAACATGCGACGCAGAAGGGGACGCGAAAAGGGGCTGCGTTGTTCAGATTCCTGGGGGCTGCGTTTTTTTTCGATCAAAAACCAACCAAAAACAAAAACCAGAACCAAAGGGCCCATCATCTTCCTCGTTCAAGGCCTGGGGTTGGTTGCTTTTGTTATTTTTTGGTTGGGGAGGCTTAAAAAAAAAAAAAAAAAAAAACAATCCCATCATCATCTTCATCTGCTGGTTCGAGACCTGGGGTTGCTGGCTTTGTGTTTGGTGCTGTTGTTTTTTTGTTGTGTTTTGTTGATTTGTTGTTTGGTGTTCTTGTTTATTTGTGTGTTTGTTTTTTGGTGTTCTTGGTTTCTGTGTTTTTGTGTTCTTTCATGTTTGTGTTTCTGTTGTTGTCTTGTTGTTTGTGTCTTTTTGGGGGAGAGGGGGGCTAAAACTAAAAAAACCAAGAAAGCTTAAACAAGCCCATCATCATCATCTGCTCGTTCGAGACCCAGGCCAGGGTTGGTTAGAATTCACATTTTACATAGAATCATTCTAATTCAATCTCCGTTTAAGCAAAGAAGTTGTGATTGGATTCCTCTCTTATCAAGTAATGTTTAAACTCCAAGTCAATTGTAAAGTTCTATTGGAAAAGGATCTCCGTCTAAAGTCTAAATGTAAGATGCAGTTTGCAGTAGGATTCTGCTCAAGTACTTCCTTGTTGAGTCCCAATTAAATATGCAAATTCAAACTGAATCTTAAAGAGCGGCTGTTGGTGGAGATGTGAATTGAGTACGAAAAAAGCTACGAAACACTGTTTTACGGTGTTTTCTGACCATGGTAGTGCTGAGGCTAGTAAACCAAAACAACACGCGATTTCGGGACCTCTGAAATCTGTCCTTATGACTTAATGGCGTTATCAAAGTCTACTCCATGTCTGATTGAAATTAAAGAGAAATGTCTAAGGAAAGCTCCAATCATAATGTCTAAGATAAGCTACTCAATTGTGTTCCTTTTTCATCAAGTTCTACTTGATTTCTATCGCACATTAAATGGCATTGCACAAGGACAGAATCCAACCATGTGTTATGTTGAATTAGCACTTCATTAATGATTTGTCTATGTCAAAACGAATGCTACACAGGATGTCCTGTCCAATAGAATGGGCTTTGCACATCAGTAGACATTTAAATGTGTTTTTAACAATACTGGGACCTCTAAGTTATTTCTCATGAAATCTACTTGATATCTGCATCAAGTTCAACTTAAATTCTAACTAAACTAAGAAGAATTAAATAAGGAGCGAGTCCAATCAGAAGAAACAAACGCAGCCCCCCAGGAATCTGAATTACCGCCGAGGAATCTGAAAAACGCAGCCCCCAAGGAGGTCCCGCCCTCAAAAAAAAAGGACCTGTATCTGGGGTCATTTTGACGGCTTCTGGGGCTTGTCAAACTTGCTGGTGCGAGAGATGCGGGGAATGAGGCATGCCATGACCCCTACAAGCCATCCAACTCGTGGTTTCCTTTAAGGGAATCTCGGACTCCCCAGGTTCATTCCCACATTCCCTACCTATCGCACCAGCAAGCAAAGTGAGAAACTGGCTGGCGGCTTCCTCTTGACCTGCTGAATGGGGTGACTTCGATAATCGTAAAAGAATCCGGGCCAGTGTATGTCCCATCCAAAAGGATTTGTTTGGCGCAAGGCACAGCTTTGCCTTCTTCGTTTCCCGCCTGAGACGGATCCGGCCAAGAGCGCGCCTGGCCGGTCTTCGGCGAGGCACCGGTCGGACTCCGCCTCAGCAAGGGCAAAAGTTGGGCAAGGACAGACAATCTACTAGCAGTTTCTCCACTAAAACTGCAACGTCTAGAGGTCTTGTTTGTGGAGGTCCCCATTTTGTGCTGAAAACCGCAACAAGCTAGGACCAACAGGATTTGAGCCTGCAGCCTCCCGCAGCCCTAGGCGGGCGGGCGCGCTACCATTGCGCCATGGCCCCTTTATAAAATGGGGTGGAAAGCTGAAATGGCACGAGTCCAGGTTGCTTAAATCGCATTTCTTGTTTTCCATTGGATTGGCCCAACGAGTCCAGACTCGGCTGGGAGTCAGGCGCGCTCCGACCCGGCACCCAAACCTGCGACGAATCAGCCAAGCGCCGGCTGCGGCTTGAAATACTGTGGATGAACAGGGGAATCATCATAGCCAGGGTTTCTCAATAATGGTGCGAAATGGATTTTGTCCATCCACAGTAGGGAACCCTAATTACATGGGACGACCATCAGAGATACCACCAAAAAGGATGACTTCCCCCACTACACGGGAAAGTTGACCATGGTCATTTGGGGGCCAGGAAGTATCGACCAACACCCATGGGATGTCCAATCAGATCCATCCCCAAAAAGGGCGCCCTCAAAAAAGGAATCACGCTGCCGTCCGTGTTTTGTGCACGGGAAACAATCACCCTGCTTGGCAAGTGGCTCCAGCTTACGGCAGCATGTCTCGTTCAAATGAGGTCAGCTGCAACCGATTCTTTGCTTCGCTGGAAGCCAAGGGCCGAAGCAGCCGCTCCGTTTCACATTCAGCACTCACATTCAGCACTCACACACACACACACACACGTAGGCCGCATCATTACCCTTGAACGGGCCTAGGTGTCTGCGTGAGAGAGATCGCGTAGAAAAGAGATACTGTGGATGGACAAAATCCATCTCGCACCACTTTGAAACCATGCAAAAATCATAGTTTGTTGGTATTTACAGAAAAATCATCATTCCAGGGTTTCTTAGGTGAGGATTTCGTCCATCCGCAGTATTATAAGCACCTGCCTACTGCCACTCAGTGCTGCAACTCGAAACAACCATGCAGCGGTGGTCCCCCTCCACGACCCTACAGAAACGGGCCACTAGTTGCCAACGCCCCAAGAAAAATCAAGCTCTAAAAGAGTGCTCAGTCCAAAGGCGACCTTTTTCGCCTCTCCGAAAGACTCCTTCTCTGGGTACGGTGTCGGCATGCGAAGCCCTTTTGGACACTCCCTCAATCGAAGCAACGTGTTTCAACAGCCCTGGCAAAGTGCAACGGAAAAGCGGAAGTATCAAGCTGGCAGAACATGTAAAGATGGCAAGCACAGAGTGGGAGGAGCAAGCAGAGAAAAGAAGGATGGCAAGTAGAGAACGGGAGGGTGGCAAACACATACAGGAGGATGACAAGTAGAGAATGGGAGGGTGGCAAGCAAAGAGTGCGAGTACAAGAACCCGAATTGAGTCACAATCAAAACCTGGTACAAAAATGGTGAACCCAGAACCATGTAAAGAGCTAGAAAGGCGGCCGCAACTACTTCCGGCTGGGACTGCCCCTTACTAACCTTCATCTACCCGGGTTTTGATTGTGGCTCAAATGGGGATTGAGCGCCAAGCAGAAAATTGGAGAGTGAGCATGTGGGTCAAAACCAGTGCCATTTTGGGGCTTTCGGCGAATTCACCGCCCATGTTAGGTTTCCTATTTTCGCTTTTTTGCCTTGGGTCCCGTTCACTGGAACCTAACCGATTTGGATTTTGACCCATGGCCAGCAGAGAACGACACCATGGACCGACGGAATGGACCCCGTCTCCCGTTGCAAAACGGTGCTTTCCCGAGGTTCATAGGCAGTGGAAATTTGTTCCCGCTTTTCCACAAAACCTCTACCAGTCTCCATGACCCGTAGAAATAGGTCCCTGACCCCGTTTAGGGTAATGACCAACCAGTTTTAAAGGGTCGGAAGGAGACTCTAGGTATACAAAACCTCTAAAAACTCCAAAAATCTATAGCCCTAAAGCTCCAATAAAACAATATACCTCTATACCTCCGCAACTCTATCATAAATCCCTCTAGAGGTGTTGGCAGTATAAAACCAGGCCCCAAAGCTCCAACCATTTTTCAAAAATCATGGAGACTCTATACTTTACTCCTGTGGAATAATGTCCTGCTCCATAAAACCTCTATACCTCTATACCTCCCAAAACTCTAAAGCTCACCTCTCAACCGCCGGCCTGGATTCAGCGCCGCGCAGGCGTTGCGCATCAGCCAGGCCGCCTTGGCGGCGAGCCACGAGGCGAGTGAGGCGTGGGGGGCGCCCGGGAACCACAAAGGCTGTCGTGAGGCTGTGTCTTTGTTGAGAAAAAAAAAAAAGAAGAGAGAAAACAACACGGGTGCTCTTCCTTTTAGCTTCCCTTTGAAACCGCAAAAAAAAAGTACAATCCCCCAAAAAGAACGACCGCCTTATGTACGGGATGTGGAAAAAGCAAGCCGGCCGATTCCGGCGCCAAGGAGGAGGCTGGTGGCCTGATATTTCTTAAATAGCCAATCTGTCTCAACTCTGACCCAATGCTTGGTAGGTGTTGTTGCTCGGTTGGCACGAGCCCTCATTGTTTGTTTGAATAGCCAAGGACTCAGCAGTCAAGTGGAAATTCACATCACGTGGAAAATAATAAGGCGATTCATGTCCCCCATAGAATTTCATCGCCAATGTGTGGGCTATCTGTACGAGGAAGCGGCGCTGCCACTATGGAGGATTCCAGTGGTGTGGTTTGAGCCGTCGGTGCATGGTAACTGGGGACACTCAGCCAGGCAAACGAACTGGGGGTAAACCCCGCGTTGGGCACGAAGACCAGGAACAACAGCCGAGCACTAAACACATCACTCTTTCAAAAATAACTTTGCTTTCCGACACCGGCTTTTCAATCGCCTTGTGAGTCACTGCCGAGTGCCGCCACCAGCTTTCAGACTCGGTTTTCCACCTCTCTCCTTTGGGCCATCTACGGAACTACTGATGGACAAAATCCACGCCAGGCGCCAGTTAGGTGCAAATGAACCTCGATATTCAAAACCGATGGGATCCCATTGTAGGTGAATTCACCACCCATTTTGAAACCTATTTTAGTGGGGATTGGGATGTTCACTGGGGTACGGGCTTTTGACCCATGGCCATATGAATCCTGGGATACTTCACTTTCCCACGGGCGCAACATGTTGCAAGCGTGTGCTCAGCCCCTCAGCCTTGTCATCGTCGTTTTCGTTCTCGCTTTTTATCACATTCTATCATCTGAGATCATCCGAGCTCTTCCCATAGTCATTTCAGGGTCTTGTCAGCCACTAGCCCAGTCATTTCAATAGAATCCCAGAGCCGGAGATTTGAAACCCATTCCTCCAAGACGGGCACCTAAGTCTCCAATCCCGAAAACTCAAACCGACCAAACCAAAACAAAACCACTCGACGTTAAATTCAACCACGCGCCCGCGGGAAACCCGGGCTTCCGATTCCCCGCGGGAAAACCGCGAGAGGTGCTTCCGACTCCAAGCGGCCGCCACGGGCCCCGCCGATCCAGGTTCCAGGCCTCGAGTCGCTCCCGCCCCCCCCCCCCCCCGCGAACGCAAGCCGCGGAGCGGCTTGCGCGCGCATTTGTTTGGCTCCGCGCTTTTTTTTTTCCGGTGGGGTATATAATATATATATATATATATATACACATAAGCTGCTCTGGTGACTTCATTGAGTGCGTTTGGAAGAGAATAGGCCGATACAAAAGCCCTGGAAAGTGTGCTGGGAAAGGGGGGCCCGGGTTCCCCAACTGACCCGAGAACCGACGCGCGGCCGGCCGTCGAAACAGGGGCCCGGCCTTTGGCCGACTCCTCCAAACCTGCTGGGCAATCCGAAATTCCATCCAATGGCACGGCTCAGAGACTTACCCCCAACACCAGAGTGCGGGGACGTGGTTTCCAGCTTTGAACACAACTTTCTTTTTTCTGGGCGATTCATCGAAATTGCAAGCTGACACACACTGGAAGGCAGCAGAACATGTGCGTTGGCGAAGGTATTCTCTCCCGGGGCGTTCAAAGGGAACAACGGGGAATCATCTAGCGATGACACACACTCCGCTTTGCAAGCCACAAACAAGGGGAGCATGTCTGATGCGGATCCTCCACTCCCTAAACCTTGCTCCCGCACCTTGCGGGATTGGCAAGCCGCGTCGCGGCGGCCAGAAAAGCCGAGCAACCACCCCCAACGCCTCCCCCACACCCGAACCTTAAGCCCACCCCAAACCAATCCCAATCCCGTCCCTTTTTTCCTCGCGCTTCGCGCCTGACCGGTTTTTGGCTTGCCGCAAGCGCCGGCCGGACTCCACCTCTGGTTTGCCGTTGGTTTGCTGTGGTTCCTCGGGGTCATTTGACGGTTTCTGGGGTGTAGCAAAGTCAGAAAATGAAAATCGGTGGTGTCCTTCTTAACCCACCACTGAAGGGTGACTTTGACCATGGTAAAATAATGAGGCCAGTTTCCCTCTAACCTCTAACCCTTCTCTCAAGTTCTAGCATGAACCTTCGCAAGAGGACTTTGAAAGGGCACCTACAGGAAACCAAAGCTTTGTGGGCAGTCTGACTGCAGGAAAAGAACCCCCCTTCCATATCCCGCATGTTCAAAAAGCTGTGGCCTTAAAAAAAGCACAAACAAAGGACATTACTGCTGCGCTGCTCAAGAGCAGTCGTTTGAGGCCCTTGATCTGCGTCTTTCTCATGCCACAAATATTGCAAGTACGTGACCACACTCAATCTCAAAACCACGGTAAATACCAGTAAGGGGATGCCCTTGCTCCCTGACTTGCAATACTTGGGGCATCCAGCTTGTCCAGCCTTTCACACCAGCCAACTTTTCGAGAACTGCTCCAAAGAGTGGATACGATCCCTTCAAAACCCACTACCCTTCTGACCAGACTTGCAGCGGGTCTCAATCATTGAGCAGGTCGGCCAACTAAAAAAACGTCACGGAAAGTTCGAACAAACATGGCTTTGTGAACCCCATCTCACGCGGGCATCTGCAATCTGCGGCGCCCTGCACGCTCCTCCACAGACCGGGCGCCGAGACCTGAGTGGGAAAACCATTTAAGGCTTTGTCAGCCCAAGTCCAACACATCCCCATGCTTGTTTGCCACACTGATACCGGGAGGCTTGGAGATGGGTGTCTGTACCCACTTTGTTGTTGGGCTTCAGAGAAAAAAAAAAAAAGGGGGGGGGGGGGAAAAAAACGGCCACAATGTTGGGGACCTCACATGGCCATGGGTAAAAATCCCGTACCCCCAATGAACATCCGATTCTATCCCCACTAAAACAGGTTCTAAAATGGGTGGTGAATTCACCTACCCCAAAATGGTACCCAAAACGGCTTTGACCACCACAGCCACATGAATCATTGCTCCGCCCAGTTCCTACGAAAATTCCAGACTTTTCCGCGTTTCTGGGTCGTCACTACACCCGACCAGAAACGGCGCTCGGAGTTTGAGAGAAGTCAGCCCTGAGAAGGATTCTTGCGGCCAGTTTTTTTGTTTTTTCCCACTCAAGAAATAGGACAACGCCCATGCGCGAAAAAAAAGTATATTTGGTTCCCCTCGAAAAGATGTCCCCCCAACACGACCTTGCCTTTGGAAAGCCTACATTTTGAATACACCCCAACACACAGCATGGCTGTGTACTTTGTTCGAGTGACCAGGGCCAGGAGACATCCACAGCTCCCTCTTTTAAAAACAAATGTGGATGTCCACAGCTTGGCTCCCTAACCACCAGCTAGTAGTCCCCTGGGCAAGCAACCCACTGTAGAAGAGAGGAACTGCGATTCGCCCTGTTCAGCGTTGATACTAGACCTCAACCTACATGGCGGTGGTTGAACCTGCACGCCCTCAAGAAAAAAGGTTAACAAACTCCTCGGAGCCTCCACAAATTCCCCCCGAAGACCGGACTCACCCGTGAGAGCGTCGTCCGACCCGACGTCTCTCGCTCGAGACCCCCGGCTGCCCTCGGTGTGCGGACGAAGGCCTCGGAAGCGGAGCAGATCCGCCCGAAGCGTCCAGAAGTCAGCCCGGGGAAAAAAGTGGCGGTGGCTCAAAAAAAAAAAGAGCCTGGGTTACGCAGGTGTTAGTCTCTGGTTGCATTTACCAAAATGCAAAATTTTGGTACATGCTTTTGAGCCATTACCAAATCTCCTAGCCCTGACTCACCGGAAAATGGACGGAGAACCGCCTCGAAAAGAGTACCACACGCCCAGGGTGGCAGTGAGTCTGAAATTGAAGGAATCAAGTGCAACGTGTTGCCTACTGTAGACTGTAGGACCGCATGGTTGATCCCCCCCCTGCCCCTAGCCAACTGTGCTTGTGTTCTCAGGCCGCAACAAGCACCCCCGAAGAGGAAGCGAGCACCTCACGCTCCCACGCACCCACCAGTAGTGAGGTTGCTATGTCAATATGTATATATACATAATTATATATAGAGAGAATTATATATAGAGAGAGAGATACACAAATACAGATATATATATATATATGGGTATACGGTATGCATACCAAACCTCAGAACACAAGTAGCTGTCCACGTCAAGCCCGCCAAAACTTGCCAGTCAGTGGCATGGACCTGATCCGAAACAAAGGTATTCCTGAGCCGGGCAGTTGAGGTTCTGTGATCTGCAAGAACAAAAAACCACGAGCTGCCTGAAACCTGGCAAACATTTCGCACGTTCAGAAACCCAACAGTTTCTGATTCGACTCCCCAAGGTAAATACCAACAAACCTTATGGTTTCGTTTCCATGGCTCATTTCGTTTGGTCCAAGGCATTTCGTTTTCAAGGCGGGAAAGAAGCCCTTGTTGGATAGACTCCGTTGGTTTTGATCATGGCTCAAGTTTATATGCCGTTTTTTTTTCCAATGTTTCTGGCATGTTTTAAATCGGGCGGAGATTCTCCATCAGTGTCACTCAGCCTTGCTGGTTGCGTTGACTGGACATAGCTGCATGAAGCTGTGGGCCTTTGGGTATTGCCACATGGCGGCGGGTCAAACATATGTACCCAAAATGGAACCCTGGTAAATGGAAACTTGGACTACAACCTGCGGTCCAATTTCTGATAGTTTCATTTTGAGCCACACCCACATGTTTTCCATCAACATCGCCACTGCAGACGCCGAGCCCCCGCTTCCCCACCTGCGCCCTCATCCGGGGTCTCCTCCTCCTCCCTGAGCCTGACGGCTCGACGTCAAAGACCCCCCTGGGCCTGGGGCTGGATGACCCGCCTGGTAAGCATGCTGCATAAGCACAAGGCTTCACTAGACGAATCATGACCCGACATGAGCCTGTTCTTGTTTGGTGTTTGTGGCTTTTGTTTTTTTTTGTGTGTTTTTTCTTGGGGGGGATTGTTTTGGAAGGGAAAGCCAAGAGACACCGAAGCCCATTTCGGGCAGTTTCTCCAGAATAGAGACAAACCCATACAGACCCATCTTGTTCGACAAGCTGTCCAAAGTTGTTCAGCTTCAAAGCCCAAAAGCCTTGCACCCATCGCCTCGCAACCTAAGGACATATATTTCCTCCTGCCAGAAAGGCAGATCTGCAAACTGGGGTCAAGCTTTCTGGAACCTTGGCTTCTCGAAACCCAAAAAGCGCCCGTCCAAACATTTCAACAGAAGCACCCCCCCAAACCCCCCGCACCCCCAAACCCCCCAAACCCCCACACCCCCTAACCACCCACACCCCCAAACCACCCACACCCCCAAACCCCCACACCCCCAAACCCCCCAAACCCCAAGCCCCCAAAACGCCCCAAACCCCGCGCCCTGGGGTGGGGGGGCTGCCGCAGCCGGTGGAGGCGCTGGACCTGGAGGGTGGTCACACAGGGAGGGCCGGTGGACTCGTGCAAAGCTCCCCAAGCGCTCCCAGCAGTCGAGTGTTTGGGGGGGGTGGTCCTCTTCCTCCCAGAAGCAGTGCTTTTCCAGGGGCGCTTGGAAAAGGTGGTGCTCTTCAGTGATTCCAGGGAAGGTGGTGGAGGACATGGGAGTTTTATGTTGCATGTGAGAGTGTCCAAAAACATAATTGTATTCATGTAGATATGAATATAAGTCGTCATAAACGTAACTACGATTCATCCGAGATCTACGGTGGTGTGCGTGAAGTGCATAGATGTGTACGTGTACGAAAACTGCGTCTCAAAGAAATACGTACGTACTGCATGGACGAGCGCATGGTGTGCGTATTGACACACTGCGCGGATGTAGCACAATGTATACTCATTTGTTTCTTTTTTTAACGCCCCCTTTGCGACATATTTCTGGCAACCCTAGCAATGGTTTGCTTTTTACTCTCCTAGATACTCCAGCCCCTTTGCATAAACCTGACTTGGTGGCTTCGATTGCTTGCTTGGTCTGCGTCTGTCAAGGAGCACCAACCCCTAATTACCCAAGGTATGACACATGAATGAAGACTCGAAAGCGGTTGATGAGTGGCTGGATTGGCCAGGAGAAGTCGCAAGCTCCAACCAACCAACCAACCAACCAACCAACCAACCAACCAACCAACCAGCCAACCAACCAACCAACCAACCAACCAACCAACCAACAAACCAACGCATCTCATGATGATTTGGTCCAGGCTAGATGACAATTTCCCCCGAGCGCCCGGCGGGCAGACGTCTCATAGAAAGCCAACACAAAGCAAGTCCAAAACTCAGGACCGCCTTTTCCCCCCCAACAGGTCCCATGCCTTCTTTTGAACGGGGGGGGCCCGCAAAAAAAACCACCCGAAACACGCGTTCACAAAACGGGGAGGCGCTTTCCCCAAAAAAACGCCTTCTTCTTCCCCCTTCCCATCCCTTCTTTGGACCCGGGGCCCCCGAAACGCGCCTTCCCCGGCCCCCAAAACCTTCTGCTCTCTGCACGGACAGCCCTTTGAGGCCCCAGGCAGACCCAGCTGGGCGAAGAAGCTGAAGCCTCGGCCTGGGCTGGTTGAGTGAAACCCGGATGTAGAGAACCGGGGTGCCGCTTCTTACCTTTTTGCCTTTTTGCTTCCTCTTGTTGTTTCTTTGTTCGGGATTGGTGTCGTTTCTTTCCCCCAGCTGCAAGCTTTGGGGTCAAAACGCCCAGGTAGGCTCAGGGGTCCGGAGCCCTAAGGTTCCACGAGGGTTCCACGAGGGTTCTGCGAGGGCCGCGGGTGGTGCGAGCACTAAACAGAGCACCGCGTGCTGTTGGGGATGTCACCTGAGCTTATTTTTATTGTTCTTGATTGGTGTCGTTTCAATTTGTCGACCCGCGAAAAAGTGGGGGGCCAGCTTCTTTCGGCGCAACCCTCTTTTCTCCTCGCGATAATTTTACCTTGGAACATGTCAAATCAGCCCCAGGATCTGGCATCCTTTCCTCTACAGTCCGTTCAAACAGTCGAAACCAATATCCGGCGCAGCGAGTGCGGTGTCCGCGCCTGGCGCAGGCTTGCAAGGGCTGTTGACCGGGCTGTCCAGCGCTGACTCCTCGCGGGCATGGAGCTTCGGGCCAAGTGGCAGGCATGGGGCTGGCTCCATCGAGATGCCTTCATGCTTTCATGCGTGAACAAGTGCAGGCCCACCACTTCGGTCCCCAAACTGTCAAAAAGAAAATAGAAGCAGAATCTCACTCAGCGCCACGTGCTCAAAGCAGAGAGGCACGTGGGTGTGTCCTGTTTTGGGGGCCCAACTTGATTTTTTTGGTTTTCCTTTTGGCTTCCCTCTGAGGAACGGGCGACCTTCAAAACGAGATGAGCCACCCCCGCTTTGTTTCGATCCGCACCGCTCTGGTTCGATCCTCTGAGCCTCCGGCCACTGGAGTGCCCTGCTCCTTCAGCGCTCTCGCCAGGTCCTTGCAATACGATGGGGCAATCATCCAAACATTCCATAGAGGGTTGCTTGAGAATGACGGGTTTGTTTGTTTGTTTGTTCGTTGGTTCGTTGGTTCGTTGGTTCGTTGGTTCGTTGGTTCGTTGGTTCGTTGGTTCGTTGGTTCGTTGGTTGGTTGGTTCGTTGGTTCGTTGGTTCGTTGGTTCGTTGGTTCGTTGGTTCGTTGGTTCGTTGGTTCGTTGGTTCGTTGGTTCGTTCGTTGGTTGGTTCGTTGGTTCGTTCGTTCGTTCGTTGGTTCGTTCGTTCGTTCGTTCGTTTGTTCGTTTGTTTGTTTGTTTGTTTGTTTGTGTTTTGTGGGGGGGGGGGGTGCAGCCAGGGTGGGTGCAATCGAAAACCGGCACTCAAACAATCGGGGGGTGGAAATGGGACGAATCCATCTGAGATGTGACGCTGAAGCGGTAGGAAAAGCAGTTGTGGAGCATTTACAAAACTTATCTTTGAGTTGAGAACAGTTCTCCAAGTCAGAAAGCCCGGACAGGAATTCACCTTTAAGTTGGCTTCTCTTTCAAAACATCCAAAACCCGTGTCTCAATTCTTGAAGCGCCCCCAAACTGCTCGGACTTCGCTACCCCGGCGGTTTCTGGCCGCGGCTCGTTCGGTCCTCACTGAACTTGGCAAGGGCCATGGCAGCAGGCCCATCACTCCACGGCCTTCATCCTTACAACTGGGTTCATTATTTTGACCTATCCTGATTGATTTTGGGGAGAACCATGCGGGTCTTCCTTTTGGGTTTTCCTTTGGACCAGCTCTGGTGTTTTTCAAGCTGCAGAGACAAAAAATCAGGTCGACGATTGTTGACGACTTTGATTTGCGAGGCTGAAAGCTCGCACTCAAACCTCATTGCTTACAATATGAGTTTGATTCAGGCTCGAGTCTGGCGAGGTTGCGCGTAGTGCTTTCCAGATGTCAAGGCCTACGGACCGACATCCTCGCAAGATGAATGACATAAAGATGGACATTTGCCACCCGCCGAAGATACGGAACCTGGCCTGTCAACACGCAACACGTCGCTTGAAGTCAAGCATGCAGCATGTACGTCTTCACAGCTGGCGAGCGTCTTCCCAAAACTGCGCTAGCGCAAACAAAATATCGTCCAACACCCTTCAACATGTGCCGGCACCCGAGCTCGACCACCACATATTGGCCCTTGCCTGCAGCGCAGGTCGCGCGACACGTCTAGAGCTTGAATCACGTGAGCCATCAAAGCGCCGCCAACGTGTTTGGCGTAGTATGAACCCGTCACGTTAAGGCCTGTTGCACTAACCCTCACATCAAAGAACCCCGCAAATCCAAAAGGCGCGCACTTCTTTCTCACAGGTTGCTTGAAAGTAGCACTGCCTCCAGGGCACGCGGTGCACCTGGAGCAGGAGGAAGCATTGTCCCCCCTGTGAAACTTAAACGGCGCCAGACAAGCGTGTCCTGGCTTTGCAGCGCAACCACACAGCGTGGCAAGCGTGCCGCGCAGGTGTCACAACCCTTGGCTGAATGGGCGTGTCTCTGGGTCCCTGGCACCAGACCCGTTGGGCGAACCAGTGCTTTAAAAAAAACGAACCCCCCCAGACCCGTTGAAAGAGTCAGTACTTAAAAAAAAAAAAAAAAAAAAAAAACGAACCCCCAGACCCGTTGGGAGAACCAGTACTTAAAAAAAAAAAAGAACCCCTCAGACCCATTGGGCAGACCAGTACTTGAAAGAAAAAAAAAAACGAAACCCTCCCAACCCGTTGGGCAGACCAGTACCAAGCAACCCCCTCCTCCCCCCATTGGGCAGACCAGTGCTTGAAAAAAAACGAACCCCCCCCCCCCAGGCCCGTTTGGGCAGCCCAGTACCAAGCCCAACCCGTCGGGCGGACACCTCCACTCACTGTCCACTCTCTCTGCTCTCAAAACGGGCCTCGTGGAATTGCACACCCTTTTGCACCCCCTCTTTTTTGCTCGATTTTGCATGATTGTTTGCTTCATTTGGGAGTGCGTCCTCCGGCACCCACCCTTTTGGCCTGTTTTTGTGTGTTTTTACACGATTTTAGCATTGCACCCCCTATTGCACCCCTTTTGCACCCCCTCTTTTTGCCTGATTTTGTATGTTTTTTTTGCTTGATTTGGGAGTGTATCCCCCCAAACGGTTTGGGCGGACCAGTATCAAGCCCAAACCCCACCACCAATTGGGAGAACCACTCCTTAAAAAAAATCTCCCCCAAGACCCGTTGGGCGAACCAGTACTTAAAAACCCGAACCCCCCCCCCAAGACCCGTTGGGCAAACCAGTACTTAAAAAAAACCCAGCCCCCCTCCCAGACCCGTTGGTGAACCAGTACTTTACCGAAGCTGCACTTCGGAGCCTTCGGCGGGTCCATCCCCGGGCTGGTGCAGCAGTCGGCGGGCACGCTGGACCTGTACAGCATGCAGATCAGGGCCAGCGCCTTCGAGGGAGAGTCTGTCTCGGTAACGGACCTGCTGGCGGACTCGCTGGCCCTCACGGGCTCGGCCACGCTGGACGGGCTCACCGCGCAGGGCAACGTGGGCTGCGACCAGCTGCTGTGCAACGACGTGAACTGCACCGACGTGTTCACCGACGGGCGTGGACGCCTCGGGCGCAGTCTCCTGCGCTGCGCTCACAGCCACCGGCACCGTCGCCGGAGCCGCGCTGTCGTCCACGGGGGCCGTGTCAGGCAGCTCGCTGAGCATCACGGCGCGGCCAGCGTGGGCCTGCTGAGCTCCGCCACGGGAATCACGGGCAGCACACTCACCATCAACAACACGGCCAACGCCGGGAACTTCACCACGGTGGGCGACGTGTCCACGGGGACATTGACGGCCTCGGGCGCAGCGACGGCGGCGAGCTCCGCAGCCACCGGGGCGGTCACGGGCGCCACGCTGACGATCACCGGGGCGGCCTCCACGGGCCCGCTGGACTGCGAGAGCCTGGACTGCACCTTCACGGCCACGAGCGGCGGAGTGTCGACGGGCAGCGTGGTCTGCGGCGACGTGACGAGCTCGGGCACGGTCTCCGCGCCGCAGCTCTTCGCGTCCAACACGCTCACCGTGACCAACACCTCCGACTTCTCGGACGATCTCTTCCTGACGAAGAACTGGGCGGGCTGGAGCAAGCTGCAAGTGTCCAACAACAGCGCGGCCCCCGACAGCGGCCCGGAGCTGCGGCTGCTGGGCAACCAGAGCGCGAGGGTCTTCCTGGAGCGGGACGGCGGGGCGCACCAGTGCGAGCTCATCATGATCAACGACGAGGCGCTGGTGCAGACGAAGAGCCTCTCCACGCAGCTGTCCCTGACCACGAACCAGAGGAACCCCGGCTGCCTCGTGATCGCGGGCAACACGGGCAACGTGGTCTGCAACACGAGCTTCACGAATTTGTCGGACAGCCGGGTGAAGACGGAGATGGCCGAGGCCGACGTGGCGGAGCTCCAGCAGCTCTTCGACTCCGTGGAGGCCAAGCAGTACAAGCGCCCGGACATGAACGGGACCTGAGGCTGGGCTTCGCCTCCAACGACTTCTCAGGAGCGAAGTGGAAGAACCTGACGGGCACCGCCCGGTGGAGCGACGGGACCGAGATGATCACCTCGACTACTCGACTACTCTCACCTCACCAGCGTGCTGTGGGGGGTGTGCAAGGGCTTCCAGGCCCGGCTGGACGAGGTGGAAGCCTGGCAGGCCCAGCGGGGGCCGAAGAACAAGTAGTGTCAGGCCTCCGCTTCTCGCGGAACCTTGAACAAGCCCCTTTTTGGGGCAAGAAGTAGGTGTGTTCAGGCCTCCTGCGTTCTAGGGAACCTTGATCAGCTCCTTTTTGGGCAACAAAGCTAAATGGAGGCGCTGAGGGACCTGGCCGACGACTTCAACGTGCGGGACCCGCGGAAGCTGTACCGACTCGCGAGGCAGCGCGACCTCGACGTGACGCAGGCCATGGCCTTCGAGGCGCTGAAGGCCGACGTGGGCCGGCAGGTGCAGGCGCCCCGGCCGCGCGCGCTGGGCAAGTCGGCCGCCGAGGGGCCGAACGACCGGCTGCAGGCCGACCTCATCGACTTCAGCCAGAACACGCGGGGGAAGACGAAGTACGGCCTGGTGGTGATGGACGTCTTCACCCGGGAGGCCGCCGTGGAACCTCTGCAGAACAAGAACGCCGAGACGGTGGGCCGCGCCACCAAGCGCGCCGCGCGGGAGCTGACGGGGGACGACGGGAACTTCGTGGTCACGACGGACCTGGGCAACGAGTTCGCCACGCTGGACCGGGAGCTGCCCGAAAATGCCGTGCACCGCACGAAGCGGCCCGAGGACCGCAACGCCATCGCCGTGGTGGACCGGGGCATCCAGACGCTGAAGAAGGACCTGGCCACGAGGGTGGCGCGCAAGGGCGGGCAGTGGAGCGACCACTTTCAGCAGACCGCTTCGGCCTACAACGCGCGGCCCCACGAGACGGTGCACGGCGCGCCCGAGGACGTGGAGAAGCAGCCGGCCACGGAGTTCAGGGTCCTCCAAGACAACGCCGACAAGTTCCAGCACAACAAGGACCTCACCGAGCGGCGCGTGAAGGCGGTGCAGGACGCGGGCGCCTTCCGAGCGCCGACGAACGCGGCGAGGAGCTTCAACCCTCAGTACGGCGACGTGCAGCGGCTGGGGGCCGTGGACTCCATGACCGTCCGCAGCACGGAGGGGCGCGAGACCCTGCTGAAGCTGGCGCTGCCGGCGCCGCAGGGCAGCGGCAACGCGGCGGGCCGGCTGACGAGACGCAGGCCGGCGGCTGTGAGGCAGCTGGACGACTTCCTGGCGCCTCCGAGGCCCAGGACCCTCGACTAGTTTGAAAATGATTTTTAGGCACGCTCAGGCCTCCTCATTTCCGTGGAAGCTTGAGGACCCTTTTGGCGCAAAAAAACTTTGATCACACTCAAGTTTGCCTGATCGAGCGTGCGCAGGGGGGGAAATTCCCGGAGCCTGCTCAGCTCCTTTTTGGGGTCCTCGGGGAAACCAACGGGTTGGGCGAACCAATCAAAGCGGGGCTGGGGGCAAACCGCGCAAACCCGTGCAAAAGCTATTCTTCTAGTGTCTATATTGATATAGGCACTGTAAGAATAGCATTTTTGTGGCGCAAAACCGTGCAAAAAAGCTATTACTCCAGGGTGTATATTCATATACGGCCTGGAGTAATAGCATTTTGTAGCGCAAAACGGTGCAAAACGAGCTATTCCTCCAGGCCGTATATGAATATACACCCTGTAAGAATAGCATTTCGTGGCGCAAAACCGCACAAATGTACCTGGGTTTGGCTCCACTCTCCCCCAGCTCCAGCTATATGTGCTATATGGACGCCAACCCGCTGAACCTCCACTCTCCCCCGGGTCCTTGCTATATGTGCTATATGTGCTATATCTCACAAGGCAACCCACCGAACATCCACTCTCCCCGGGTTCCTTGCTATATGTGCTATATGTGCTATATCTCACAAGACAACCCACTGAACATCCACTCTCCCCCGGGTCCTTGCTATATGTACTATATGTGCTATATACTCTGTACGCGCGAAATCTGTACTATATGTGCTATATGGCCCCTATATAGCACATATAGTACATATAGCAAGGAGCTGGGGGAGAGTGTAGGTTCAGTGGGTTGCCTTGTGAGATATAGCACATATAGTACATATAGCATGGAACCCGG